GCCCCTCCCCAGCCTCGAGGTCCGTCACCACAGGACCCGAGGCCGAGTCCTCTCCCCAAGCCCCGACCCCACAAGACAAGGACGGAGCAGCCGGAAAAGCTGGAGGAAGGGGGGCCCACTGGTCAGACCCTGAAGCTTCGGCCGGGAGACAAGACTCGAATGCCTCTGCCGCCCCCCCGGAAGGGGCAACCCCCGAAGCTGCCCGAGTCTCGAGATCAAGTAACCCCCGCTCCGACCCCGAAACCCTCAGACGCTTCGGGGCCGGAAGCAGGGGCGGGGGACCAGAACGAACAGAAGGGGAAGGACGAGGAGGTGCGGACTGAACCAGGATCGAAGCGACCCCCACCCCCAAGTCCGGGTCTCGAAAAGCAAAGCGGGGCAGCCCCGGGGCATCCGGGGAAGCAACCAACCGAGCGCGTTGCAACAGACAAAACCTAGACTGCAACGCACGTGCCGCCTGTACCCGAATAGAATCATCAGAGGATTGGGTAAATTGAGTCACAAGCAAGCAGCAACACTCACAGGACTCAGGGTCGAAAGTATCACCGACCCAACAGGCAGCGTGGCAGAGGCAAAAACAATGAGGGTCACCCTGAGACAAGGGGACCGAGCAACCCTCAAACTCGCACACAGCGAGTGGGGACTCCGGGGTCACATCCATCGGACCCACGCGCCCCCTAGGGGATTCCCAGGGTCCTGAGCGTTTACTTTAAGAGGACTCGCGCTCAGGTAGTCCCAGGCAGGGTGCTGCAAACCGGCGCCCAAAACTACCAAGCAAACTTCTAAAGCTGAACCCCAGGGACGTGTACACTCACGGGGACCTAGCAGGGGGCGCCACCGAGGAGAACAGTGGAAGGGCAAAAACAAACTGAATAAAATGACAGAACCCCCACCAGGCAAAAAACAAAAAGAAAAACAAAACCCCGCAAGAGGACAGCGAATCCCAAGGAACAGAGCCGGCCGCGATGTCGGGAATTACAAGCTGAGCAGCACCCTGCGCCCCTACCAGTGCAAACTGCCTCTTACCTGCCGGTAACAAGGGAGAACAGAACACCCAAGAGCCCAACAGGCGGCCGAAAAACCGAAAGGTAAAACGGACCAGCAGAGGCAGACCCCGAGGAGCCTGTGGAAGGTGGCCCCAAGCCCCAAGGGCAGTACTTACAGGGCACCTAGGGAAGGCAGCCCTAGGCGCATGCAGCCCGAGTACTGAAGATAACTCCTGGCTCTCGCACCCACAAAACTAACACCACACTCAAAGCACAGTGCAGTAGCGACACCGGAGCCAGAGCACACGACCACCGCCAATAGCATCAGCCTCAAGAACTGAGGTGTGGGTAGCCGGCGCGGGGGGTCTGGGGCTCCCCCTTCCCCTCCCGGGGAGGGGGGAGCTGCGCAGACAGCGGCGCGGCAGTGTGTGACGTCACACTAATTTGCTTGTTTTCGGTTGGGGAGTTCTATCCACTAGTTCGGTATTAGGTAGCAATTTTAACCAGAATAGGGGTTTGTTTTGGGGCGCTTACCTTTCTGGGTGCCTGTTCCGGTCGATGGCAGACATAGAATGCTTCCAACTACACGGGGGCTTCTATAGGCCATTGCTCCCCTTGCCTCTCTGAGGGGGCCCGGTTCTGGCCGTGGTCCCCGGTAGGCCTAAGAACTCCATACACATGACTGATGCCAAAGTCTGACATTAGCATATCAGCCTGGGATAGCTCCGGGGAGCCGACGGGGCTCCCCCAGAAAGGGTAGGTATTGTAATACATATATACTGTACAGTATATCACTGTTGTGTACTCTGATCTTTTGCAATTCTGTAATACGATATATTCAGTACTGTGCACCACTTGTATTTTCGCCTAACAAGTCTGTTATAAATATACTGCCGTATACTAGTCGATTTTCCCTGTGTTTGCCAGTGCCAAAGAGTTACGAGTGAATTTAGTTAGAATCATTCTGTTGCCTGTGGCAAAGACCAAGTTTTCGTTATGCATTGGAGCCCTGTATATGCCTCTCTAACCTTTTCCATTGCTACCCACAAGATTGGTATGGGGTGCATAATAAATGAACTAAACTAAACTAAACCCGTGGGACCATATCCTGCTGGGTGTGCGTGTTTTCCTCTTGTGGAGGTAATACTCTCTCTCTCTTTTTTACTCTTACTTGACACCATCTCTTGCACCCGATATAAATGCTGTGAATGACCCCATAACGTTCTAACTACTAACTACAGTACTAATTAATCTAACTACTGTCATTTGGGTCAGGACAACAACCCCTAATGAAAGATTACGATATCATAGTGTAAGAGATCATTACTTCGTGTTATTATCTTGGCCACTGGCATATCAATATCTTGTCGTTGGCCCTATGGGTAACTCAACATGGGCTGCTGCAAGTGCAAGGTGCAATTGCAGGTCTTCTGTGAGAACCCCATCAGTACAGTCAGCCACCAGGCCTGCAACACACACACACAAGCAACTGCAATCTGCAGCAAGAACTTGAGCAACATTTTTGTATATTATGGTTGGAATTCCATTAGTATTACTATCTATGGGTTTGTGTTGAATAAATTATAACAAAAGTGTTTGAGAGTGATTGACAATATGTTGCCTATTTTGACCTGTGATACTTACTGGAGAGATAATACTGTGTATCAACATTTATCTGGGTCAATATATATCCCAGATTGATGAAATGAAACAAATAAATCAGATTACTGTTTCCGAGCCTTTGACTAGGTAGACATACAGGAGTACCTCAGTTTAAGAGTTTAATCTGTTCCTGGAGACGGCTCGTATTCCGAAAACTCGTAAACCAAAGCTAATTTCCCCATAAGAAATAATGGGAAATGAATTAATCCATTCCTGACTACCCACAAACCTCACTTCAAACTAAATTTTATACCTAATTCATCTAAATAAACCTACAAAACTATGTTCAAGTTATTACTTACCCTTGCTGATGACTGCTGTAGGCGAATGGAAGATGGTGAGGAGGGGGAAGGAGAGGTGTTACTGTTTGGAAGGGGAGTCCCCTTCCATTATAACATCAGGCAGTGAGGACCTCTCAGGGATGCATTCTCTGGCACGTTTTGGCTGCATACCACTAGGTCCTGGTTGTGGCTCACTGCTCGATTTTCTCACAACAAATCTGTCCATGGAAGATTGTTTTTCCCTTCTTCGCAAGATGTCTCTGTAGTGAGGCATCAGTCTTTTTCTAAATTTTTCTAAATTTGTCAAACCATTCCCTGCTTGCCTTAAAGTCTATCATATCTGCACTCGTTCCAGGGGTATTCTTTACAATCTTCATGCAATACCCTGGCTTTCTCACAAATGATGGCCTCTGAAACACTATCACCCACTAACTCCTTGTTGTGTATCCAAATTAATAACAACTTTTCCACTTCCTCAAGTATTTGTGGTCTTTGTTTCGCGATTGTTCTTACGCCTTTTGCCACTTTAACACTTTCGCGCTCTCGGCGTTCAAAAAAAAAAACATACCCTAGATGCTTTCGGCGCTTCGCGCGCCTACGCGGTAAGACCGAAAAAGTGTACACTCTTTTGACTGTCCTGATAATAATTGAAGGCGCACGTATTTAAATTTGGTATCACTGTGTTCGCAATAAAATTGTCTATAAGAACATATCTATAAAATGCCGCCAAACCATAAGGATTATCAACAACAAATAAAAAACTATTCAGATCACTAGCCGAGAGCGCCAAACAGCAACAAAATGTTTCCACTCTCTTAATATTTGCGAAGCCTACAGTTGTCCTACATCGCTAATTGTGGTATCATTGGAATCGCAATAAAATTCTCTACACGGACATATGCATATAAATATAGATTCAATGTCGTAGCCCACCCAAAACAGTGTGGGAAGTGGCCGAAGTGTTACCCGCGGCGGCATATCGGCGAAACTTGCTTTGAAAAGTGTATATTCAATTCACTGTCCTGACATTATTTGTCGATGTATGTATTTCATTTTTGTACCAATGTGCTCGCAATAGAATGTTCTATAAGAACATAAGTATTAAAGGTCACATAAGGATGCGTTCGACCGGCAACATATATAAAAACTACGTCGATTACACTCGTCGTGTCAATAATACAATTGTTTTACCACGATGATTCACTGCCACGCCGTTTTCTTTTATAAGCTGTTCGGCTATTAGAGAAAACGTAAATTTCATGGCAAACATTTGTAAACTATTCCCAAGTTGATCGGATAATAAATGGATTTTACACAAATATTTTTGCTCGTGACTCCCGCGAGGGGCACGAGTGCGGTGTGTTTAATAATATTGGTGCCGACGCAGGTCTGCTGGAAAGCGCCAAAGTGGCTTTTTGCCACTTTAACACTCATAATGTCCTTTTTCTAGCTAAGTATGGAGCGTATCGTTGACGTGTCTTTGTTGTACTGCATACAAAGTTCAACAACACATGTACCATTTTCATGCTTTCGAATGATCTCTTGTTTTTCCTCTATTGTCATCCTCACATGCGCTTTCTTGCCTTGATCCTTACCACTGGCTTTCGTGGGACCCATGGCGAGATATATAATAACAACTTTTATGGTCAAATGGGCAAAAATCCAACAAAACACTGAAAATCCTGGTGAAGAATTCAGGCGGGATAGTCACTGGGCGCGAGGCACATGCGCTAGGTCGGCCTGTATGTGTATCAACACCCTCGCCTTTCGAGGCAAATTTTCCAAGCAAATCCTGCTCGTATTCCAAAAAACTCGTATACAGGGACACTCGTATTCCGAGGCACCACTGTATACTGTAGAGTAAATGGGTGAAGTCTTGAGAAAATCAGTAGGAGCCCTTAGGAGGATATGAACCCACAATCCTTTGAACAAACAATCCCGAACAATGTAACTGACAATACAACTCCAAATAAAGTGTTTTCAGTTCCTGGAGTTATCAGTCGATAACATTCATCTACTTAAATTATTTAAGAAATCAGTGAGTGCGAGAGAGAGAGAGAGAGCCGGGCACCTGAGAGGGGCGGGCCGAGGATTGAAGTGATGGGAAGGAAGGCGTAGACGGTAGCGATCTCGGCAACAGTGAGGCCCAGCTCCTGCATGTGGAGGGTCAGGTAAGGCAGGATCGATGACGTACCTGTTCAGGAGAATGATCAGTCATTACCTCCACTCCAGTTCCAGCTACACCAAATATTTTCCAGAAGATACACTGTTTAAAGTTTTCTTGTGCAACATTTATTTGCAAGACTGTTGTGAAGCTTTAAAACAAAGATCATATTGTATAAAAGCCAGCATTGAATATAATGAAACGCCATTTTCTGGGCGAGCCTCAGTGGCTCCCTGGAGCTATTGGACTGATATACGCTATATTAGTCTGTGGCATCAGTCAATGGCATACTGCCTACCGGGGACCATGAGCCAGAACCTGGTCCCCTCAGAGAGGTACAGGGAGCAATAGCCTATAGAAACCCCCATGTGTTTGGGAGCATTCCATGTCTGCCATCGACTGGGGTTAGGCACCCAGAAAGGTAGGCATAACAAAACAGATCCCACCTGGTAAGAAATTGCAACTGAAGATCAAACAGACAGACAGAACTCCCCCAAAAAACATAAGGAAATAAACAATCATCATTCACCACCGTCACGCTGCTTGTCCGTGCAGCCCTCCCCTTTCCAAGAGGAGGAGGAGGGGGAGCCCCCCCCCCACATGCTGGCTAATTACACCTTTAGTTCAGAGGTTGAGCATCAAAAGCAAAACAAAACTGTCGACCGGAGGGAAGAAGGGTACCAGGGAGCCTCTGGGGCTCACCCAGAAAATGGTGTTTCATTACATTCAACACTGGTTTTCTGTGGAGAGCCCCTCTGGCTCCCTGGAGCTACCTAATCAAAGACAAGTAAAAGAGGGACGTCGACCCAGGAGGCGGCCGCCACATGCACATTAACTCGAAGTCGAGATAACTGGATGCAACCTGCAACTCAAAGACACAAGAACGACAGGGACCAGGAATATTGACCAGATGACGGGCGGCCAGGACCCTGGTCAACCTTCAAAATCCCCGTGACTGAATGTCAGCCCAAGACACGTTGCCGAACACGGCAGCCAAAGCAGAAAACTTATGAATGTCATGGGCAGGAGGGTAGACCGTAAGCTGGCTAGACTTTAGAACTCTGCAGATGACATGGGAGACCCGAGCCCTGGATCAGGGAACGATGGAAATCGGATCAATCTAAAGCGTGTCCCCGGCCACAGAAGACGAGGAACTCAGGTAACGGCGAGAGTTGCAATGGGACACAACACATGATGCACCCACTGGCATGACCAACCAAGCATTAATGACCCATTAATGACCTCCGGAAGGCCGCCATCTCATTCTTCGCCAGAAAAGAAGGAGACGGCTGCAAACGAACAAACTGATCACCAGGACCGAAAGAGCAGAAACCCCTGCACCAAAGGAGAGCATAAAGCTCACCAACCCGACCCCCAAAAGCCAATGCCAACAGAAACAGACTTGGAGAAACAATCTTGAACCGAAAGGGCCATCACGATCCAAGGAGAAGAATGAAAAGAGAGCACCCGGTCCAAGAACCAGGATGGCTCAGGCGGCACATGAGTAGGCTGGAGGTGAAACAAAGCATGAGAATGCTTGCGAAACGGGGCCAAAGTGACATCCACCTTGAACACAAGCTGGAGCGGCTCCACCAGCGCTGCATGATAAAAGGCAACAGTATTGGGTATTAAATGATGATCCTGAAAAGCCAATAGAGAAAGGACAAAACAACCCGATCAGAAATTGAAGACAACCTATGAAGAGAGAAAATGACAAAAAGAACACCAGGAAACTTCATACTGTTGCCAAGATGAAGCTCGCAAGTGGGACACCATCCAAGAGGCCACCTCATCATGTTTTTTTTTTTTTTTGCTTTTTTTTTTTTTTTGCAGGGGAAATTCCTGCATGGGCTCCAAGCCTCTGGCTGGCCCACTATGTATACCAGTATACCACTACACAAGTGGTCAAAAAGATCAGACGTGAAGAGCAGAGGAGTAAACCAAACCAGTCATGCACAAGACTGGACCGATCTGCTGAAAGAGGCGGAGCTATGGAAAATGTCCTGGGTTCAGACATCGAGCAAGCAGCACCTGAAACAAGGCTGGGCCGGCCACCAAGGGGCCACAAGGATGACTCTCCCTCGCTAAGACTCTAAAAAGAGCTAGAATCGAAAGCAACAGCTGGACCAGGGAGAAGGGGTTTAGGTAACCCCACCTCATCCAGTCTTGCCGAAAGGCATCCAACGCATCGTCTCTGCAGTTGGGGAAGGGCACCACGTATATCGGGAGACGCCGAGACCATGCCGACGCAAAGATGTCTACCTCCGGGAGCCCGTACATCCGGCAGAGCCAACTGAATGAGTTGGTATTGACCGTGCATTCCGGAGAAAGGGGGAATGAACCGAGACAGGCGGTTCACCAGGACATTGGACACTCCCCAGATATGAACAGCACAGAGAGCCAAACCCCAAGAATCCAGCAGACAAGAACTCGAAGTGACCAGCCCCAAAAGAGCTAAAGACCAAAAAGAACCCCTGCGGTTCAGACAATGAACCACACTGGAGAGCAGCCCAAATTGAGCCAGATCGTAGAACCCCAAGCGACTCAAACCTTCCAAAGCTACAGCCAAACCACTGCAAACTCGCGCACAGTGCTCTGAGCCTGACGGAAAGACAGAGCCCACACCAACCAGTCGTAGAGGTAGGCCAGAACCCAAACCCCTAGCCAACGCAGACGGGTCGCTATGATCCGGGTAAGACTTGTCAATATGCGAGGTGCCAGATTCAAACCAAAAGAAAGGCAATGAAATCGGTAAGCCTGCTGCCCCCACAATGAAACCTAGCCAATCCTTGTACCCCAGATGAATCAGAATGTCCCAATACGCGTCCCGGAGGTTCAGACACACCATGAGCCGGACTTGGGACAGAGTGGTCATCCGAAAGGAGGGGCAAGGACTCAAGGGGCTCAAACGGGATAAGGCCAGAATGAATGCAGATCCACACAGTCCCGTTTCGGCACTAGAAACAGGTGGGAAACATGCCTAAGGGACGGGGTCATTTCTGCCACGTTCCAGTGTACCCACTTCAAAATGACCAGACGGAGCAAAAGAAAAGAAACCTACCCCACCAGCCCCGAACACCCCAAAAGAGGAGCCGCCCAATGCCACCACAGGCTGGAGGACACGACCCAAAATGCCCACAAATCGTGGAACCAGGTGTGAGCAAACAGCGCGAGCCTTGCCCCCATCGCGACCCACGAAAGGTTATGCGGATCTGACAAAACCCGTGCCACGCTCCTTGGGAAAAGAAAGGGCAGTCGGCAAGCCAGGATGACTCACGAACCTCACAACGCACCCAATATGGGGAAGAAGAACCATACTCAAACAAGGACGGATCCATCACAGAAGCAAATCTGGGTCATGCAGAAGTTGTGCCTCAATAGCCTCCCGAACCACCTTAGGTAGGATTGGAAAGGCAGAAAACCTCCGGAATGAAGGAGCCGAGGAACCCAAGGGAACCCGGAACCGAACCTGGGGAGGAGCCAACCCCAAATCATACTCATACAGGAAAGGGCGGGATAAGAAAACCCCTCCCCCTACAACTGCAAACCCTGCAAAGAGAATGATGTTTGTTTGTTTGCTTGTGTCCTTATGTTTTTTTTGGCAGTTCTGTCTCTGTTTGGTCTTCGGCTGCAATTTCTTACCGGGTGGGGTTTGTTTTGTTATGCCTACCTTTCTGGGTGCCTAACCCCAGTCAATGGCAGACATGGAATGCTCCCAAACGTATGGGGGTTTCTATAGGCCATTGCTCCCTGTGCCTCTCTGAGGGGGACCAGGTTCTGGCTTGTGGTCCCCAGTAGACAGAACTCCATTGACTGATGCCCCAGACTAATATAGCGTATATCAGTCCGATAGCTCTAGGGAGCCAGAGGGGCTCCCCACAGAAAATATATCATATTAGGATTTTGAATATTTTTATTAAAGATGGCATATACAGTACAGTATTGCACTGTATATTCAAGACTGAAACAATACCCGGCTGTAGAATATTAACTTGCATATCATTAAGGGGACGGATGCACATCTTCTCAACCTTCCTCAAACACTCAAATTTTGTGTGCATAATCTACATGGTAAATGCTCCAACTTTTCCCAATGGATTAACATTATAACATGAACAGAAAAAATCAATAAAAAAAATTTGAAAAATTTCACAATTTTAACACTTTCGCCCGGGCATGACGCAGCATTGCGTCATCCGTTTACTGTCGGTAATCTTGGGGATGACGCAACATTGCGTCATCCACTAAAATAATTGCCAAAAATCAGGTTTTTATCCGATTTTTTGGGGACTATTTGGTAACTGTCAACAAGCCGAATGCAATCTGTGACTACAATACAACCATGAAAGGTGTTGACCACTTTGACCAAATGATCAAATATTATCACTTCATAAGGAAAACTCACAAATGGACGAAGAAAATGACCATCTATTTTGTGCAAATGGCTATCTACAATGCTTATGTGATGTACAACTACTACACAAAAAATACTAAACTATAATACTACATATACTAAAATACTAAATACTAAACATTTGTGGGCAGGAATTGGGAGTGTAGCTGGAAGGCATCTGGGCGCTCACTCGCAGTTAACGTGTGGCCCGTCTTCAACTCGTCGGCGGGTGGAGCGTGACCAGGTTTTTTACTTTATATGCTAATGTTCCTCTAGAGAATTCTATTGCGAACCCATTGATACCAAAATGAAAGACTTAGGACGAAAATTGAGGTTACCAGAGTGAAAAGAGTGAACACATTTTATCGCTTTTGCGCGCTCCTGGGTAACTCGTTCGCACTTTCTCTGTTTGCTGTGGGTAATTAGCCGGGCTTTTGGAGTTTATATGCATTTAGTGCTGTAGAGAATTCTATTGCAAACACAATGATACCAAATTTAATCTCGTAGGACGAGAATTAAGGTGACAAAGTTGAAGAGAGTATACACTTTTCAGAATTAACGCGCGCTCCCGTGAAACGCTGGGACCCAAATCGCACAGTTGAGGGGTAATTACCTAAGTGTAATTACCTAAGTGTAGTTACAGGATGAGAGCTACGCTCGTGGTGTCCCGTCTTCCCAGCACTCTTTGTCATATAACGCTTTGAAACTACTGACGGTCTTGGCCTCCACCACCTTCTCACTTAACTTGTTCCAACCGTCTACCACTCTATTTGCGAAGGTGAATTTTCTTATATTTCTTCGGCATCTGTGTTTAGCTAGTTTAAATCTATGACCTCTTGTTCTTGAAGTTCCAGGTCTCAGGAAGTCTTCCCTGTCGATTTTGTCAATTCCTGTTACTATTTTGTATGTAGTGATCATATCACCTCTTTTTCTTCTTTCTTCTAGTTTTGGCATATTTAATGCTTCTAACCTCTCCTCGTAGCTCTTGCCCTTCAGTTCTGGGAGCCACTTAGTAGCATGTCTTTGCACCTTTTCCAGTTTGTTGATGTGCTTCTTAAGATATGGGCACCACACAACAGCTGCATATTCTAGCTTTGGCCTAACAAAAGTCATGAACAATTTCTTTAGTATATCGCCATCCATGTATTTAAATGCAATTCTGAAGTTAGAAAGCATAGCATAGGCTCCTTGCACAATATTCTTTATGTGGTCCTCAGGTGATAGTTTTCTATCTAGAACCACTCCTAGATCTCTTTCTTTATCAGAATTCTTTAAAGATTTCTCACATAATATATAGGGTGGCGCGTGGGGCACGCCAAAGTGTTAAATTCTTTTTAATGTCACCAATTTTTATTTTATTCATTATGGACTTAGAATGGGACATAATGTTCATTTTCCTAAACAAACAAAAAATGTGGTCAATGTGGCCTTCAAAATACTGTATACACAAAATTTATACCCAAAAATATATAACTCCCAAAGTTATGGGTTATGAATAAACGGTTTTCTGGAAATCTTAGAACTAAGAAGTTTGTACATATTATGTAAAAATGGTGGGAATCTCTCAGAAACTGATTTTTTAATTCAGTCTCAAAGTTGAAAATCCTGTTCATACAGAAAAATGAAGGTAAAGTTCTTGACAATAAATATAGTACAGTAGTTTGAACTGATGTTATATCTTGTAAGTTTTAATAAATATTTCTTAGCATTCATACTCAAATATGTGAAAGTTGTAGGTCAATAGGCGCCTGACAGCTGGGTGGACAGTGCTTCGGATTCGTAGTTCTGGGTTTGATCCCCGGTGGAAGCGAAGACAAATGGGCAAAATGTTTCTTTCACCCTGATGCCTATGTTACCTAGCAGTAAATAGGTACCTGGGAGTTAGTCAGCTGCTACAGGCTGCTTCCTGGGGGTAACAAAAAGGAGGCCTGGTCGAGGACCGGGCCGCGGGGATGCTAAGCCCCGAAATCATCTCAAGATAACCAATATGTGTTGAAATGATGTCAAGAAAAATAACCCTCATCAAAAAACTAAATATAGGCATAATTATAATGGGTTAGAGGATATATAAGTATACTTCATATAAGTGATAAAGCCCTTATCTGGTCCCCATTCAGCAAAAACAACCTAAAGAGACAAAGAAAATTGAGTTTGAAATCTGTGAATAAGTTGGCCAAAAAAATTCCAAGTCAAAAGTTCTGCTGTCTGTGGCTGAATTACATGTTGACCCATTTCGTTCCAACTTCACATACTTAGTGATGGGTATGCATTCTCCAAATGTAGATGCCACAATAATATCAGATGAGAAAAAAATCAAAATTGGTAGACATAAGAAATATTGGCATTTGGGCAATGTATTTATATGATACAGTACTGTATATAATAAAATACAGCAACATAACATACTTACTCATTATTATTTGTGTGAAATTTTGCCCTCCAGGTGGCAATCAGCAATCCTAGAAGACATCAGCTACATATCCACTTTGTGGACCCTCCTTACAGCTACTACTCTTTTTTTTTTTGTGCAACAGACAGGTGCTTGCATCTCTTAATCACTGCATTATTAATGAGTTCCACTAACTAGGAAGAGTTATTGTTAACATTATTACTGGTTGCAAAACGCTTTTGTTTTTTGTAAATTCGTATAAAATCCATTTCTTAACATATTGGGATGAAATTTTCATGACACTGATGCCAAATAACATGAGAATTATTTAACAGCTTTCACTACTGTATATTTCATATTTGGACGAATATTTTTGTGCACCCGGCCCATTAAGCTATACATCATGAGGGTACAGTATTATAATGTAAATGACCAAGTTATATGGTGAATTAATTACTAGCTAATTAAACAAATATTCGTTATGGACAACATCTGGCTTGCCACCGATTTAAATATTTTTTATATTTAATGAGAATAAACAACTGTGCTTAATTACTATACAGTATTTCCTGCTGGATATACTTGTGTTGGAAATAATTAAGATTATTAATGTCCTTCTATGTCAAGTGATCTCAGCACCTAGTACTCACCTCCGGAGTAAAGGAACTGGATAACTTTGATGAGTATAAGTTCTTTCTTCCATGTCAGCTCCTTCTTCAGCCAGGTGCTCCAACCTTTGCCTGCCTCAACCGAGCCTGTCGTGGGAGGTTATGAGCAAGTTATTTCTATTTCATTCATTATGCACCCCATACCCATCCCGTGGGCAGTGGTGGAAAGGGTTACAGAGCCACATAATTGGTTCAGGAACTGAACCCCATAGTTCGTTTAGCTAAGCAGGTGACAATCTTGTGAAGCTAGTTACACAATTGTTAATATTAAATACACATGTACATATATATGCATTTATGTACACAAATACATAAACAGTACTGTACATATCAATAATCTTTTTATATCTCAAGTAATTTAACAAGAGGCTCACAACAGTCTCTTTATAAAGCACTTTAGTACTGCGGCAAGTTACACAGTTAATAATCTTGTTGCACACCCACCTAACTGGGTGGCATCTATACAGTCATGTGCATGCATTACCTACAGTAAACAAATTTTAGATACTTCGCAAAGATTTCTGGCAGTACATCATTATGAATGAAGTACTGTACTTAAAACATTTCTTGGACACCATTGATGGTGTTCTCTGAATTCTGTGATTTTTTCCACATTACATTATATAACGGTGCAAAGTATGTGAATAGTTCTGCTGAGTTTGCATTTAGTCTAATCTGGATAAGCAGATGTTGCAAACTGCCAGAGGTACTTGTAGCCGAGCCTAAGCCTAGCAGTGGTAACATCTAGAAGTCTGCTAACCTTATTGGATGACCCATAGACGTGCGGGTCTTCCTGCATAATAGAATAATGATAGATGGACTAACTGGTGTGAATTTCGCTTTGCCTCAAGTCTACGAGATTTCGTTGACCTCGGAATATTGCTGCCCTCAAGTAGTAATATAATTGTCCATCATGGACTTCTGATTAATGAAGATGGTCTCCAACAGCTTGTGGTGAGTGATTATCATGGTGGAGGGTGCACCAAGCAGATACACATTGAAGTGTTCACAGGTCACAGTTCACATAAGGGCAACAGCTTCTTTCTCTGTCTGACTGTACTGTTCAACATTTGTGAGAGAACAGCTGCCGTAGGAAATTACTACTATGGAATCTGGTTGACCAGGTTTGTGTTGGGCTAAAACAACACCTAAGCCAACAGGACCTACATCAACAGTTAGCTTAGTGTCCATTGATGGGTCAAAGTAGGCAGCAGTTGATTTACCTCTGGTCGGTTACCTCTCTTCCGCTCCTCTGCCGTTTTCTCTGAAATCCTCCAAACACCCCCCCCCCAAACCTCATGTTGTAGGGGGGACTGAAGTCATTACAAATCTCATGTACAGATACCGTATGTAAAAAAAAAAAAAAATAATAATAATAATAGTAATAATAATAATAATAATAATAATAATAATAATAATAATAATAATAATAATAATAATAATAATAATAATAATAAATAATAAAATAAATAAATAATAAGTTTTTATCAGGAAAATTACATACATAGTTGATTTACAAGCAAACATAATGTAGGATTTATAGATAGAGCTAGTACATACAATACCTAAAGCCACTAATACGCATAGCGTTTCGGGCACGGTGTGGAAAAAAAACGCTTAGACTAAAACATAATAGTAATTGGGATTGGGTTTAAATTGTGTTGAAAAAAAGAAATAAAAAAATAAAAAGGAGGGAACATGGCAGAAATAAGCAATTGTACAAGCTGGAGAACAAGCAGCATTGTTTAACAAAAGCAAGACATGGGTTGACATTTGTGGGGTAAGGTAGGTTACATGAAGTTAATTAAGAAGCTGTAGCGAGTAGATTATCCCAATAATATACTCGCTCCAAATATAGTGTTAATATTCCTGTCAACCTTTGGAGATGAATGAGGTGAGGCGTTGCCTGGGCAACACGGTGATGTGTTGCCCGAGCAATATAAGCAGCAAGAATAGCAAACATTAACTAGTCTACTTTCAAGTGTGGTCTAGAGCAGACACTTGCGAGATACTGTACCAACGCTCAGTGCGCTCAACTCACACCAACGTATCACCTGTGTACTTCTGTATATTCGACCAAATATATATCAGTATCTTCAGTGTCTGGGTTTATTTGTCACCATACGCGTTTGCGTAACAATTTGGGGCCGTTACAAAGCACTTGGTTTTACTCTTAAACTGGCCGCTGCCCTCGCAAAACCACAACCACATAAACTGAGAGAGCCTTTGACATGATTGGGGAGACCATTCCACATTCTGGGTCCCTTGATTTGTAGAACATTTCTAGTTTGGTCAAGTCGTACTCTTGGAATATCAAATAAGTAATTGTTACTGGTGTGATGCCCATGAGCTTTGTTACAACCTTCTAGGAAGCTTCTAAGGTCAGGATTGACATTGCAGTTCAGAGTTTTAAATATACAGAGTACGCATGAGAGGATGTGCAGTGACTTAATATGTAACATATTCAAAGATTTTAGTAAGGGTATCGAGTGCTGTCTGGGGCCAGAGTTAGATATTGTTCTAATAGCAGCTTTGTATTGAATAATTAGAGGACGTAAGTGATTTTGTGCAGTAGAACCCCCAAGCACAAATACCATAATTTAGATAATGATGGATGAGAGAGTAATAGAGCATCACCAGGGCAGGGCGAGGTACATAATATCTGGTCTTGCCAACAGTTTGAGAAACTTTTTTTTATATATTTTGAAAGTGTCCCTGGAAATTCAGCTTGTTATCGATGAGAACACCAATGAATTTTCCATCTACTTTGTTACTGATTTGGATATTGTTCATTCTTAGATTAATTTGATTTGAGGATTTATTTCCAAACAAAATATAGAAAGTTTTGTCAATGTTAAGGGTGAGTTTGTTGGCAATTAGCCAAAGATGGACTTTATTTAGGTTAGTGTTCACTGTGACATTAAGAGCAAGAGGGGTCAGGACTCTAGAAAATGAAGGTTGTGTCGTCAGTAAATAGAATTGGTTTGAGGTGACAAGAACACAACCTACAGCACTGTATCATCCTTTGCAGATGACACTGGGATCTTCATGAGAGTAGGCAACATAGAGGACACGGCAAACCTCCAGTCAGATGTAGATCAGGTCTTTCTATGGGCTACAGAAAATAATATGGTGTTTAACGAAGATAAGTTCCAGCTCATGCGCTATGGAAAAAATGAAAATATAAAAAAACGGAAACCACGTACAAAACTCTCTCATCCATAACATAGAACGAAAAGGCAATGTAAAGGATCTGGGTGTACTCATGTCAGAAGACCTTACCTTTAAAGAACACAATAAAGTAGCCGTCACAACTGCAAGAAAAATGACAGGTTGGATAACAAGAACTTTTCACACTAGAGATGCTATACCGATGATGACACTTTTCAAAACGCTAGTGCTCTCTAGAGTGGAGTACTGTACTGCTGCACAATGACAGCCCCTTTCAAAGCTGGAGATATTGCTGACCTGGAGAACGTGCAGAGATCCTTTACTGCTAGAATCCACTCAGTAAAACACCTAAACTATTGGGACCGACTAAAGAGCCTAAATCTGTACTCCCTTGAGCGCAGGCGGGAGAGATACATAATAATTTACACGTGGAAAATATTAGAGGGGCTGGTCCCAAACCTGCACACAGAAATAACATCACATGAGACCAGAAGACATGGCAGGATGTGCAGAATACCCCCGTTGAAAAGCGGAGGTGCAACAGGTCTAAACAGTCTCCGTGGTGTAGTGGTAAGACACTCGCCTGGCGTTCCGCGAGCGCTATGTCATGGGTTCGTATCCTGGCCGGGGAGGATTTACTGGGCGCAATTCCTTAACTGTAGCCTCTGTTTAACGCAACAGTAAAATGTGTACTTGGATGAAAAAACGATTCTTCGCGGCAGGGGATCGTATTCCAGAGACCTGCCCGAAACGCTACGCGTACTAGTGGCTGTACATGAATGTAACAACTCTTGTATATATCTCAAAAAAAAAAAAAAAAAAAAAAAAAAAAAAAAAAAAAAAAAAAAAAAAAAAAAAGGTACTCTGAGAGAGAACTCTATCAACATCAGAGGCCCGAGACTGTTCAACACGCTTCCGCTACACATAAGGGGCATAACTGGCAATCCCCTCACAGTGTTCAAGAGAGAACTGGATAAGCACCTCCAAAGGATACCTGATCAACCAGGCTGTGACTCATACGTCAGGCTGCGAGCAGCCGCGTCCAACAGCCTGGTTGATCAGTCCAGCAACTAGGAGGCCTGGTCGACGACCGGGCCGCGGGGACGCTAAGCCCCGGAAGCACCTCAAGGTAACCTCAAGGAGGTGTTGAGAGGCATTTGGAAGGTCATTAATGTAGATGAGAGAGTGGAAAAGGCCAAGTATGCTGCCCTGAGGAACAATAATGTTGATGGGTAGGGTGGGAGAAATTGAATTATTCATAGAAACATACTGGAGCCTGTCAGTAAAGTAAAACTGAAGATATTGTAGGGAGTGACCTCTGACTTCATAATGATGTAATTTAAGAAGAAGGTTTTGGTGGTTGACAGTGTCAAAAGCCTTACGTAAGTCAACAAATAACCCAGCAGGGAACTCATTTTAATGAAGAACTGCATGTATCAAGTTAATCATACTAATAAGTGCTTTTTTGGGTCTGAAGCAATATTGGCAAGAGCTAAGTATATTGTGTTTGGCTATATAGGAGCAGAGCTGCTTGTAGATTAGTTTTTCAAATATTTTTGACAAGTTCGGTAGAACTGATATAGGTCTGAAGTTGACATCAGTGAGATCACCACATTTATGGATTGGGGTTACTCTCGCTTTTTTTTAGAATATCTGGAAAGGTTTGGAGTTCAAGTGACTTGTTGTAAAGCATTGCAATGGCAGGAGCTAAAAATTTTGAGTTTTTTTTTTTGTAAATTAGAGTTGGTATCTCCGCAAGAGCACTAGACTTAGTTTTAAGGGAAAGGATTATCTCATTAACATCAATGGAATCAGCAGACATTTATATTTATATTTTGTCTGTTTGTATAATTTATATTTTGTCTGTCCCTATTTAGCACAGACAAGGACAGACATTTATTCAAACCCCAACAGCAACCATATGCCTACCTACATCACAACACTGCTTACACATCCAGCCACAATACGCCTCTATAGCCCACCATATGCCCATATAGCCCACCATACGCCCATATAGTCCACCATATGCCCATATAGCCCACGATATGCCCATATAGCCCACCATATGCCCATATAGTCCACCATATGCCCATATAGCCCACGATATGCCCATATAGCCCACCATATGCCCATATAGTCCACCATATGCCCATACAGCCCACCATATGCCCATATAGCCCACCATACGCCCATATAGCCCACCATACGCCCATATAGCCCACCATACGCCCATATAGTCCACCATATGCCCATATAGCCCACCATACGCCCATATAGTCCACCATATGCCCATATAGTCCACCATATGCCCATACAGCCCACCATACGCCCATATAGCCCACCATACGCCCATATAGTCCACCATACGCCCATATAGCCCACCATACGCCCATATAGTCCACCATACGCCCATATAGTCCACCATATGCCCATATAGCCCACCATACGCCCATATAGTCCACCATACGCCCATATAGTCCACCATACGCCCATATAGCCCACCATACGCCCATATAGCCCACCATATAGCCCACCATACGCCCATATAGCCCACCATATAGTCCACCATATGCCCATATAGCCCACCATACGCCCATACCCAAACCTACTCATCAGCGAATGTTGGGCTTCACAGTACCTCTAGCCCCCCCCCCCCCCCCGCCCTTCATCACCCGGCACAACTTTATTATGTTCAGCTCTTACATGCTTGCCACGACTTCTATTAATTTGAACCTTTATACACATGTATACACTTTCATCATGCATACTCTTTCATTGTTTCTGTATGCATATGTAGTTTGTCTCATCACTTGCACATGTAATGCTAGACACACATGTAATTGGGTAATTAATTGGTAATTAGTAATGTTAATTATTTAGGATTACCTCTGCATAGGCGATATGCATCCTTCGTTATTATTGTTAAGTGCACCACTTATAATTCTGGGATGAATTCCTTGTATACTCTATTTACGAACTACTATGTTCGGGTGCATGTGCCCCTACTTACGTGGAATAGGTATACAAGTATAGTTATTAAGGTCACTTATCATGTATCCCTGCACATGCACACCATAGGTTGCAACTCGCAGTTGCAAATTCTAGGAACTGTCGTTGCAACTTACTAGCAACCTCGAAGCTGTCAAAAAAATCCAGCAACTTCAGTTGCAAATTACTACCTACCTACCTTGAGGCTACCTTGAGGTGCTTCCGGGGCTTAGTGTCCCCGCGGCCCGGTCGTCGACCAGGCCTCCTGGTTGCTGGACTGATCAACCAGGCTGTTAGACGCGGCTGCTCGCAGCCTGACGTATGAGTCACAGCCTGGTTGATCAGGTATCCTTTGGAGGTGCTTATCCAGTTCTCTCTTGAACACTGTGAGGGGTTTGCCAGTTATGCCCCTTATGTGTAGTGGAAGCGTGTTGAACAGTCTCGGGCCTCTGATGTTGATAGAGTTCTCTCTCAGAGTACCTGTTGCACCTCTGCTTTTCAACGGGGGTATTCTGCACATCCTGCCATGTCTTCTGGTCTCATGTGGTGTTATTTCTGTGTGCAGGTTTGGGACCAGCCCCTTAATTATTTTCCACGTGTAAATTATTATGTATCTCTCCCGCCTGCGCTCAAGGGAGTACAGATTTAGGCTCTTTAGTCGGTCCCAGTAATTTAGATGTTTTACTGAGTGGATTCTAGCAGTAAAGGATCTCTGCACGCTCTCTAGGTCAGCAATTTCTCCAGCTTTGAAAGGGGCTGTCATTGTGCAGCAGTACTCCACTCTAGATAGCACAAGCGTTTTGAAAAGTATCATCATCGGTATAGCACCTCTAGTGTGAAAAGTTCTTGTTATCCAACCTGTCATTTTTCTTGCAGTTGTGACGGCTACTTTATTGTGTTCTTTAAAGGTAAGGTCTTCCGACATGAGTACACCCAGGTCCTTTACATTGCCTTTACTAGCAACTGCATTTGCAACAATTTCATGCAACTTGCAGCTGCAAATATTTGTTATTAATATTTAAATTTAATAAAAAGTTATATTGCCTATGGTGTTTTGTTTCACCCGACGCACAAAAAAATGTATTTTGTCCGGAGGAAGCGCTAATCCAGCACGACTATACACCATACAACAGCTGGAAGGAATATGTCAAACAAAGAGCTAAGAGCAGATTAAGATCTGAAAGATGAAAGCAGACTAAGTGTTGAGAGATGAGAGCAGACTAAGAGTTGTCAGTATAAGAGTAGAGTGAAGGAAAGTACCTTGCCACTTGGAGAATAGAGGATCGAACGGCGACGCTGCCGAATGCCAGGCGGTCACTATACTGACCAGTCTATGTGGATGCATGGGTTATAATATAGTGGACACCTTCTATAATGTCGCTAATACGACATATGTAACATAGAGACATACCTGTCATCTTCAGTACACGCGGGAGCCTCACTTCAACTTTATGGTGTCCTCTGCTGTTCAGTGGTTTGCGTTGTTGAATGTAAAGTGTTCAATTATCTGTTAGAAACTCTCTTAAGCGCACAAAAGTAATCAAGAACGACTGTTAGGAGAGTAAAAAGTCACCATTTCTGCCAATGTTAGGATTCCCTCCTGCAGTGGAGGTGTAGATGTGAGAGTGGTGAGGTGTGTGAGTGTAGGGGTGTGAGGAGAGGGTACAGCAGCGCCTGGCACAAGCGCTGGGTCACACTGGCGGCTCACGGCCCCATGAGCCACCGGCAAGGACCCCTGTTTGTTGAGTTCAGTGCAGACCAAAGCACATAGGGTGTTTGGGGTCCACACTGTCGAGGGTGCCTGTAAGTCTGGCACCCTCAGCGGTCGTTAGTATGTGCTTGAACCGTACCCAGCATGACACCTGGTTAGACATGAATGTATTGTTTCATCTTTCTAAGGGTTTGAATCAGGGCATCATCTGCATGTTGCATTGCTTCCGTAAATTTAACATTAGCAATGACGCCCATGAAAATGTTGGGTAGTGTGGAGCTTAGCACTCCCGACACGAGGACTAAGTTCCGTAGCCACTTTACCCGGAACTGTGGTCCTTCGAAAGAAAGTTTTGCTATCCTTCATGCAAGCATTCAGTCCATTTTAGGAGCTATTCTATGACACCTATGCATGCAAGCTCGTCTAGGACTGCAATCTCTTGTGCCTTATCAGAGTCTACCAATTTCGTGTAACAAGACTCTTTAATCAATCAAAAACTTTATTCATAAATTGTTGTAGATTTATAACTGAGAAAGTTTACATACAAGTACAGTACAGTAATTACATGAGTGACAATAACAGGACAACATGCACACTGTTATTATCAGTCACAACCGTTACTGGTAACAACTTGTATAACTCATAACAACACTGCTGGATTAACAGCTGTACAACACTGAATCAAACGTATATTTTACGCATAAAGTGGGTGACATACAGGTAAAAATTAGAAAGATATAAAGTATTGTAGACAATATATATCTCAAAATTAGGATGATGATAACGACTAGCAGTAGAACTAATATAAATTAATCATATCATGGCGATGTGTATATATATATATATGTATATATTTGTTCACTCAGCATTCTACATCAACAGTACATTCAGGGGTCATCATGGCTCGGTCACTCTCCAAACACACACATCCTGTACGTCTCAGATGAACTCAAAACGCCTGTCAGTAAGTTGGTCCTTTCACGGTTGAGGATTAATAGCTAGGATGAGGTTACCGATGCCGAGTGAAGGTGATGAGGCTGGAGATAATTAGCGCCGTCGCTTTCACACTCACGCCGAGCTGTTGACGTCGCCTCTCCAGGCACCAGCAGCGGCCGTCCGGGCCCACCGCCCTGCACGCCACACCACTGATGGCTCCATAATGACAACAAGGCTACAACGTCATTAGCCCTGGGTACCACCGCCCATGGGATGGGTATAGGGTGCATAATAAACAAATGAATAATACAAAAACTGATTTCTGGATAAGCCAAGTCGTTTGGACACTTTGCACTCGATTCCTTTGTTTACCTATTAGTCAATAGGTACTCGGGGAGTTAATTGACTGTTGTGGGTTGTATCCTTGGAAAACTCAGTCATTGGCTAGGGGGACCTTAATAAATCTACCGGCCTTCCGGTCCCCGAGAGCGTAGTGAACATTTTTGTGGCGAAAAGCATGAATGAATAATTACATGTCGTCCTTTTTGTGTTTTATATTAATAATTCAGCACAGCTGTGCTAACTAGCAATTGTAATATACAACATAGATGACCAGACCACACACTAGAAGGTGAAGGGACGACGACGTTTCGGTCCGTCCTGGACCATTCTCAAGTCGATTGTCAAGTCGACAATCGACTTGACAATCAAGTCATTCTCAAGTCACAATCGACTTGAGAATGGTCCAGGACGGACCGAAACGTCGTCGTCCCTTCACCTTCTAGTGTGTGGTCTGGTCATCATACTTTAGCCACGTTATTGTGACTCATCGCCTGCATGCAACATAGATTTAGAGAGAGGCGGGGAAAATCGGGTCTGTCAAATTCGATGGAATTCTGTCATTGTCACTATGATACAGCAGGAGAGAGAGAGACGGGTAGATTACATCTTCGTAGAGATTTAGACTGTCAAAAAGCATGTGTTACAGTTCTTCGCCAACACCTGACACGTGAGGTGAAAAAAACAGTCATGAGTATATAGACAATATATACTCATATATAGTATATAGGTCGCTCTCAGAGTACACAGACGGGGTCGCTGTCAGAGTACACATGTTATTATATATACATTTAATTATTTTTGTTTATATATACACAAGAAGGTACAAAGGGTTATGAAAGTAAATACGGTGGTAATTAAGGTTACACTCTTACAAAGCCACCAGCGCACGTAGGGTTCCCAGCGGGTTCTTATGAACCTAACACACACATGTAATGATAGGTACATTGTAGCAGAATTTTAATCCACATAACAAATACCTCGGCATAAAGTGATAAAATAAATTATACTGATTATGCACAAACAAATCACACAGACGTGATTATTCTGAAGAGTTTAGTTTAGTTCATCTATTTTACACCCCATACCCATATTGTGGCGGTAGTGGAAAGGGTTACAGAGGCACATAATGGGCTCAGGGACTTAACCCCACAATTCATTTAGCTAAGCAAGTTACAATCTTGATGAGCTAGTTACAAAATTCAGTATACGTCGTCACATCATCAATGGGTTCGAGATCGACCACAAGTACAGTTTCTAAAGCAACTGACATATATGGTGAACAAGTGTAACAATTGATATGTTTGTCCTGCACACCGCCCCCTATCCAGTGGGCAGCAGTGGATAGGTTACAATCACTTAGTTACTACTGAAGAGATGTGAGGAGTGAGGTGCCTCAAGGCTCGCTACTGGCCCCGCCGCTGTACCTGTCAGTAGCAACGACCACCTGCAAGGCTGTGTTCGTACCTGTCAGTTACAGCAAACGATACAAAACTAATGAGAGCACAAACTGAGGACGATAAAAGAGTGCTGCAAGTAGATCTTGACAAGCGGCATGAGTGCAAGCGGTACATGGCTGCTGGATTTTAACCCCAGCAAGTGTAGGGTGACGAAAATGGGAACGTTAGTTAGAGAATAGAAGGAAGTGACAGCGTAAGAAGCAGGCAACGATACCTATCACAACGACACAAAGACGGAATATTTGTATTTTTACGTTATTGTGCTTCCTATACCCACCTTGTGGACGCCAGTACATCCCTACCCCATCCTGTGGGCGCTAGTGCCCCTCATTCCCATCCTGTGGGCGCTAGTGCCCCTCATTCCCATCCTGTGGGCGCTAGTGCCCCTCATTCCCATCCTGTGGGCGCTAGTGCCCCTCATTCCCATCTTGTGGGTAGTAGTGCACTCCATACCCATCTTGTGGGTGCTTGTGCACCTCATACCCATCCTGTGGGCGATAGCGCACGCCATACCCTTCTTGTGGGTGGTAGAGCACTCCATACCCATCCTGTGGGTGGTAGTGCACTTCATACCCATCCTGTGGGCGGTAGTGCACTCCATACCCATCCTGTGGGCGGTAGCGCACTCCATACCCATCCTGTGGGCGGTAGAGCACTCCATACCCATCCTGTGGGCGGTAGCGCACTCCATACCCATCCTGTGGGCGGTAGCGCACTCCATACCCATCCTGTGGGCGGTAGCGCACTCCATACCTATCCTGTGGGCGGTAGCGCACTCCATAACCATCCTGTGGGCGGTAGCGCACTCCATACCTATCCTGTGGGCGGTAGCGCACTCCATACCTATCCTGTGGGCGGTAGCGCACTCCATACCTATCCTGTGGGGGGTAGCGCACTCCATACCCATCCTGTGGGCGGAAGTGCACTTCATATCCATGCTGTGGGCGGTAGTGCACTCCATACCCATCCTGTGGGCGGAAGTGCACTTCATACCCATCCTGTGGGCGGTAGTGCACTCCATACCCATCCTGTGGCCGGTAGAGCACTCCATACCCATCCTGTGGGCGGTAGCGCACTTCATACCTATCCTGTGGGCGGTAGTGCACTTCATATCCATGCTGTGGGCGGTAGTGCACTCCATACCCATCCTGTGGGCGGTAGTGCACTCCATACCCATCCAGTGGCCGGTAGAGCACTCCATACCCATCCTGTGGGCGGTAGCGCACTTCATACCTATCCTGTGGGCGGTAGTGCACTCCATACCTATCCTGTGGGCGGTAGTGCACTCCATACCCATCCTGTGGGCGGTAGCGCACTCCATACCCATCCTGTGGGCGGTAGCGCACTCCATACCCATCCTGTGGGCGGTAGCGCACTCCATACCCATCCTGTGGGCGGAAGTGCACTTCATATCCATGCTGTGGGCGGTAGTGCACTCCATACCCATCCAGTGGCCGGTAGAGCACTCCATACCCATCCTGTGGGCGGTAGCGCACCTCATACCCATCCTGTGGGCGGTAGCGCACCTCATACCCATCCTGTGGGCGGTAGCGCACCCCATTTTCTAACTACCAAACTTGAAGCATGTATCTGCCAAGTCTACAAGCCAAGAATAAGTATGACAAAACTTGCATATCTTCGCTTGTATTTGTTGTCGGCGGAGTAGATGAGCTGGGAGCAGCTCCCACCTGCAGAAAGTACTGTGGAATCAGCTCTTAGAAGAGTGAACCGCCGGGTCATGATCTGGATCACGGGTGATGAGGCCTGAGCCACACTCCCACTGGTCGTGGATGGCTATGATGTATCCATACCCATGGGGATGGGGATGACGTGGATACAATGACGTCATCATAACTATAGGCAGCAAAGTCTGGAGTGCCACCATAGACATTATTCATCAGCAGGTAGTTTATGACTGAATAAAACCACCCCTAACATTTCATCACAAATTCTGCCACGGAACACGTTTTTCCTCCACATTCTCCCCTGCTACTGAGCACGGGACCTTCTTTACTGCACGAGCTGAAGAAATCTTTGGAGGAGGTCCTGAGGGAGGAGGTGACGGGCCGCTGCCAGCATGTGAGGGTCATCACACTCGGCCAGACACACCAGCAGGTTATTGACCAGGGTTAGCTCTTCACTATTGTTATGCAAGATCTGGGCGACTTCACCATCTGTCTCGTGTGCGAGATGGCGGCGGTTCTTGACCTTCAGTGCTGTATCCCGTGCGATAACGCAAACCTTCTGGAAATTTATAGCTATTGTGTTCGTTATGTCTCGCACATTATTCTTTTGGGCCTGAGGAGCCAGTTCCACGTGGTGGTATAAGACAGTGAGTTGTCTGGCTTCTTCCTGGCTGATGAGGAGAGATCTGAGCATGTCAGCGCCGCGTTGGCTACCGTACACCGCTGTCAGGTAACGGGTGAGCAACCCCAGATAATGTTGACGTCCGCACTTGACGGCGTCAGCATCAATCAGTTCTGGCTCCTGGCAGAAGAGTGTGAGCACCTGTGTCAACAATGCTACCCTCGGGTCTGCAAAGAGACGAGTATAATGCATGTAAAATGTCATGAGGAGCACAAAGTGATCATGAGAAACAATCTGGCGGATGGTGGTAGCGGACAGAACCTTGGTGTGGTTTGTGAAGGGCGGCGCGTCCTTACGTGGCCAGGTGTACTCCTCGTCGTCCATGAGCTGGGCGGCGGACACATGAGTGCTGATGCCCACCGCCAGACTTAGCAGTTTCTGGCGGTCAGAGGCGGCCAGCAGCCTGAACAATGGTATTTGTGTGTAAAACGAACTCTGTCGTTCGACGAAGAGACTATAAAGCTGCCACAAGCTGTCGACTTCATTCCCGTTAACAATTTCAGGTAAAGGGAAAAAAGAGAATGCATCGCGATGCGATTTCTGGAGATGCAGTATTTCATTAATATCTCTCGCCGGCAGTGCAGAACGGAGCTCCTCCTCTGTTAGCATAGTTTCGGAACGGGAAGGTAAGGACACCCGTGCTCGACTTTTGCTCCTTGATTTCTGCATGATGGACATGAGTTCAGTAACACCTTGACTTTCAGACTGTTTCGTAGGAGAGTCCTGGTGTAGCGGGAGCGTGGGGTCACTATTGTGTCCATGGGTGACATGGGGATTGAATTTTGGACGGCACTGCACGAGGAACTTATCAGCGCAGTGACTCTGGGTTCGCTGACAGCCGGCAAATACATATTTTTCCTCACAAAGCTGGTCATGAGCATGTTGATCAGAATACCATTTAACATTTCGATTAGAATAACAGGTGAAGGCCTCGAAATTAGGTGTATAAAAGTTGGAACATTGGGAAACTTGATCAGTCTGACACTTAACAGGAAATCCGTGAGTGGTGAGAGGAGAACCTCTGGATGGCACCGAGATGCTGAGGGACTTGGGGTCAGAAAGATCAAGCAAGGACTTGCACACAGGGTGAGCCTCCCACATTCTGTCTGTCTCATCCATCTGCTTACACCGACTGCCACTGAAGGAATAATAGATGGGACAGTGTGGATGAGAAAGGGAAAGGTTTCTCTTTTAGTTCACTTTTTTAAGGACGACTACGCTTGTATGCTTATAAAGAGTATGCTTGGACATAAAGACAACAAGCTGCAATCTTAGAACGCAAGATTCTTACAGGGTCCACCCTAATGAATGTTTCTTCGAGAAAGCAGATGAATACGGCATCCTCAGTCACCCACTCAGTATTCTTGCTCTAGACGTGTCAAGAATCTTCCAGCCTGCGGTACTAGAGGTCAGTATTATTACAACTTGATGACCGTAGCGGTGGCGTCGTTAACTACCACAAGTTCCTCTCCCCGCTAGCATCGATGATGCGGTGATGCTAGTGTGGTAGTCAAGGCCCTCCCTCTCTCCTGCCTCACAAACTCACACCCTGAAAAGATAAATAGTATAACTTTACGGCGAGAAAAATATATACTGCACACGCCCACATAACCACATAGAAAAGGCACCTATATCCTGGGATCACTTATGCACACAAAAGGATTCAATATTCTCTGACACGTCGCAAGCTGATGCTTCACTAAGAAATTATTAAACCAAGGTTGGTTATGTGTGAGAGATTCGGAAAGGAAATATTTCCTGTAGGACTGGGATCACCTGAACGCATTATGCGATACTTATACGAATGTACTAATTACGAATTTAATTAGCAGAATTCATGCACCTAACTGGACATATATTATAATAATTCATGACATAGTTGTCGGGACACAAGGTGAAGCCAGCTGATGAATCATTGTTAAGAATAATAGTCCAGGTGTGTGAGTGTTGTTAATGGGAACAGTTGTGCTTTATATTGTATGCGAACAAGCCTGAATGGTCCCCAGGACAATATGCAACTATGCAACTAATCTTGGGGTGTGAGTTTTCAGTTTTTATATTGTATATATGTGGAGAAATATGTTGATACCACAAGGGTAGCTATGTGTGTGTGTGGGGGGGGGGGATCCATACTTAATGTTGGGTAGGTGTATTTACTGTTTGTCTGCAGAATCCTTTCCTGCAGAAGTTTCCTTGCCCGAAACACTATGCTTATTAGTGGCTTTAGGTATTGTATGCACTAGCTATATCCATAAATCCAACAGGATGTTTGTAACTCTGCATCTATGTACGTAGTTTTCTTAAATAAACTATTATTATTATTATTATTATCGATCTATTAGCTCTTGGACCCCGCCTTTCTAACCAATGTATTTTCCTCTGTTATGTTTACTATATATATTTTCTAACACACACATACACATCCCCCAGGAAGCAGCCCATAGCAGCTGTGTAATTCTCAGGTACTTATTTACTGGTAGGTGAACATGTGCATCAGGTTAAAGAAACGCTGCTCATTTGTTCCTGCCTCTGTCAGGACTCAAACCCAAGCCCTTAGAACTATTACCTCTGCAACATGTCCTCGACTCAAGTCCATTACATCCAGCTGTCGGCACCACAGACGCTTTCATAAATTTATACATGCTGCTCATTCAAAACGGGAATGTTCTCAAATACAAATTTGGAGGACGGGCTGTATAGTTCAGCCCGTCCTCCAAACAAAGACTCAAAAGTGATTCCATGCACCCGCGAAATCCCCTGTTTATGAATGAAAAATGGTTGACACACGACTCACAGCTGATTTCGTTTGAACACTTCCGGAACAAGTGCTTTGCTGACGAATTTTGTTCGAACCACAACACTGTAAATGCTTCACCCACGTATTTCAAATACGAATAATCGCCAACAGAACCTGAACATCTAACCTAACCTATGCCTAACTATACATAGAATTTTTATGTATAAAAATATTAATTTATATATGAGAACAAATAAATGTTTAATACACAATGTTAAAATTGATGAATGCGTCTGGGGAGGACGGCCGCTGCTTTAAACAGCTTAGTGTGAGGAAGGGTTGGTAATTACCTAAGTGTAATTACCTAAGTGTAATTACCTAAGTGTAGTTACAGGATGAGAGCTACGCTCGTGGTGTCCCGTCTTCCCAGCACTCTTTGTCATGTGTGTGTGAGTGTGTGTGTGTGTAATTACCTAAGTGTAATTACCTTAGTGTAGTTACAGGATGAGAGCTACGCTCGTGGTGTCCCGTCTTCCCAGCACTCTTTGTCATATAACGAAAACTTTTTGACACCCAAACCAACCAGGAGACTTGAACCCTGGCCATCAAGATGGCAGGTACACACTTAACCTACTAAACCATAATTAGAGCCTTAAAAAAATGAAGACTAAACCGTAAGTTCGAACTCGTGACCGCGTGAATACCAGGTCCGACCTCTCAGTCTGACCACGATGCTTCCTAAATGTGTGTGTGTGTGTGTGTGTGTGTGTGTGTGTGTGTGTGTGTGTGTGTGTGTGTGTGTGTGTGTGTGTGTGTGTGTATGTAATTACCTAAGTGATTATTTCAGTGTAATTACAGGATGAGAGCTACGCTCGTGGTGTCCCGTCTTCCTAGTACTCTTTGAAACTACTGACGGTTTTGGCCTCCACCACCTTCTCACTTAACTTGTTCCAACCATCTACCACTCTGTTCGCAAAGGAGAACTTTCTAATAGTTTTTCATCACCTTTATTTTCTTAGCTTGAAATAATTTGCAAATTTCAAGAATTCCTCTTTGTTAATTTTGTCGATCCTTGTTATTAAAATACATTGTGACGGGGGACAGGCAGCCCGAGTGTATTTGTTTTCGCACGTTAGGGAAGGGAAGGGAATTATCAGGGGAAAGCGCCAGGCCATTAGTCTCTATAGTATATGTATATTATATTGGATGTCAACCAACAAACTAACACTTAACATAGAAAAGACCTACTACATCCTATTCGGAAGCAAATCTACAAATGCAATTCAGCTTCAGATTGACAATGTAAACATTAGCAATAAAAATGATGGAAAGTTTCTTGGCATATTCCTAGACAAGAGACTCAACTTCAGTACCCACATACAACACATAACTAAGAAAGTCTCTAAAACAGTTGATATACTCCCCAAAATCAGATATTATGTTCCTAACTCTGCTCCCATCTCTCTATATTATGCACTAATCTATCCCTATCTCAACTATGGTATCTGTGCATGGGGTTCAACCACTGCAAACCACCTAAAGTCCATCATCACCCAGCAAAAATCTGCTTTCAGAATAATGTCAAATTCTGCTTTCAGACAACACTCAGCCCCCTTGTTTAACTCCCTAAACATGCTAAACATAATCTCACTCCACAAATTCTCTTGTGTCAACTACATTTACAAAACCCTGTTCTTAAATGCAAATCCTTGTCTGAAACTCTTCTTGGACAGATGTAATAGGACCCATTATCACCACACCAGAAATAAATATATCTTTGATATCCCCAGAGTTAAACTTAACCTGTGTAAACACCCTATGCAAATAAAGGGACCCAGTTTATGGAACTCACTCCCTACTGAATTGAAAAGCTGTCCAACTTTTACATCATTCAAAATCAATACTAAAAAGTACCTAATTTCATCTTCATAGTTTTTCACTTTTTGCTTTAAAATTGCACTGTACCAATTGCTACCCAATCTCCCAACCTCTATGTTCCCAATTTGAACATCTTTACCATTGTGATCATTGCTGTCTTCTTATATGTGCTGTCAATCTGTGGTATGGTGTTTATAAATCTTGTTTATCTGTATCTTTTGCTACCCAGTCTCCCAATCTTTATGTACCCAATCTGAACATCTTTACCATTGTGATCATTGCTGTCTTATATGTGCTGTCAATCTGCTGTATGGTGTCTATTAACCTTGTTTAAATTACTAATCAAGCTGTCAATGTAATCAATCAGAGCTTTAATATAACAATGTGCTTTAATATACCTACTTATCTCTCTCATCTCATTTTTCTCTTGTAATGTATCTTTATCATTTATCAATTCTGATTGAAATTACCTACTTAAAATTATCTGCTAGATTAAGGACCTGCCCGAAACGCTGTGCGTACTAGTGGCTTTACAAGAATGTAAATACTGTACTATCCAATGTTTTCTCTCTCCCAATGTACGATATATATATATATATATATATATATATATATATATATATATATATATATATATATATATGTCGTACCTAGTAGCCAGAACTCACTTCTCAGCCTACTATGCGAGGCCCGATTTGCCTAATAAGCCAAGTTTTACTGAATTAATATATTTTCTCTAATTTTTTTCTTATGAAATGATAAAGCTACCCATTTCATTATGTATGAGGTCAATTTTTTTTTATTGGAGTTAAAATTAACGTAGATATATGACCGAACCTAACCAACCCTACCTAACCTAACCTAACCTATCTTTATAGGTTAGGTTAGGTAGCCGAAAACGTTAGGTTAGGTTAGGTTAGGTAGGTTAGGTTGTCGAAAAAACATTAATTCATGAAAACTAGGCTTATTAGGAAAATCGGGCTATGCATAGTAGGCTGAGAAGTGAGTTCTGGCTACTAGGTACGACATATATATATATATATATATATATATATATATATATATATATATATATATATATATATATACTGTATATATAGACGTTAGGCCTATATCGAGGTTTATATCGTTAGGCTTATATTGGAGTTCCTTATCTAGTCCGTTCATCTAGTGCCCGGTGTAGCAACGTATGTGTGTGTGTTGTTGTTGTTAATGTTGTTATTTTTGTTGTTGTTGATGTTGTTGTATTTGTTGATATTGTTGTTATTGTTGTTTATTTATTTATTTATTTATATACAAGAAGGTACACTGGGGTTAACAGAGAACATAGAAATTAAATTGAATTTACATTCGTGTAAAGCCACTAGCACGCATAGCTTTTCTGGCAAGTCGTTAAACAGATAATTTTTAGATAATTCACAGTAAAATTGACAAAATATGTTTACAGGTACTTTACAACTTTACTTTACAGGTACAGATAATTTTAAGTAGGATAATTACAGTAAAATTGTCAAAAAATGTTTACAGGTACATTGCAAGAAATTTTGACACAAAAGCAGATTAGACTAATACACAATAATGAACAGGGATTACTAGGCACATTAGGATAACATTACAGGGTTATATATTGGGTCACTGAAGCACAGTATGAGGATCATTTCAAGGATGATAAGTATAGCTTGAGCTACCTCATCCCTCTGTGTGTTTTTTACCTCAAAAAACTTATTTCAATTTCAAGGAATAATGCAGTAGAATATGCATCCAATACAACAACCATGATATCAGATGATATCTAAGACTACAATGATAAAGTAATATGGCTCTGGTACATATATTGGGGGACTGGGTAGCACTAGACACAGTGAGAGATAAAGCACTAGGTAGAACACTATGAAGATGAAATGTTGTTGATGTTATTGTTGTTCTTATTGTTG